CGTGAAAAGAAGTGTTGAACAAAATTGAAAAACAAACTGAGTTTCAAGAACATACCCCGCGGGCACCTCAGGTAATCCACGGGGGCTACCAGGTGGCCCCTGGTAACCTACAATACTGCTGCTGCACCTGTACCGTTTACGTCTTCATCTGTGGTGCAAAGAAGCCCACAACCTCACACCCTCATGCACAGAGCTGACGTTGAAGGAAAATGTTGTTTTTGTCCCTGATGAGGTGAAAAAAAAAAAGCGGTTTTATTGGAGTCGACTCACCTGCAGAATTAATAAGAACAGGTTTTCCGACGCGTGGCGGCCAAGCAGCGACTGTTATTGCTGCCCGGTTCTCTCTGTTATCTAAGCAATTAACGTCGTAAAGACAGACAAGCGATTGAATTTTCCGTTCTACAAGCGCTCATGCTTGTTAATGATGGAACAAGACTCAAAATGTCGGAAAGTTGGATGAAAGGCTTGGACTCCCATATACGTATTTTGTCAGAGCTACATCTGGACCGAGCTCTTGCAGAGGATGCTAGGAAAACTGTACGATACCCCTGGTATAATAATAAGGTAGACAGTACGACCTTTTATTTAACCTTTTTTATATGAGCAAATATTGCATTAGGTTGTAAACCAATGATTGCCAACTGAATATAAAAAAATCACCATGACCACAGCTAGGCTGCCTTGTGTTAGTTACTTTAGCCCTGAGTGCCCACCAATCTGTGGAACTGTACACCTGTCTGCCAATAAAACTCCACTCAAACCTCAATATCTCCAAATTATATTCCATGACACACAATCATTTTATTTAAGGTTTACTACACTCTGTCTCCACCTATTAGGGTTATTACTGCCACCTACTGGGTCTAAGTTTCACGAGAAAAACAATAACTTAAGTATAAAAGAGAAAGTACAGACAGAGGGCAGTGTCCATGAAGCTGAAAGTATCACAACATAAAAAATAGAAAAATATTAGTCCTTTGAACTGCTTAATGAAAACCAACCTGCTCTCAGTCTCAGGTCTGGCATTTCCCACCTTGTTTTGTTTGTATGTCACTGATTAACTACCCTGTGAAAGGCTGCAGCTCTTTCAGTGACATACCGCTGCCCCGACCCCCCTCTCAAAAACACCACCACCATCATCGTCATCATCATCATACTGTTGACTCTAGTTTACTGGTTTCACTAAACCATTTTATTCACTGTAAAAAAAAAAAGTCAGCTCTGTGACAAAGACTGTTTGTCTGTGTAACTCCATCCCAGTGGGAAAGTAGGTGAAGGACCTATATGTATTCATGTTTGCTGTGGTTGCAAGTTTGGATCTTTTGAAACTGAACAACAACGGACATAAAATACTGTATAGACCAAGAGGTGCAACAAAACAAAAAAGTCCCCTTTTAGATCAGACCAGAACTAGCTGACAGTGTAGCCCACACAGGTACAAACTGTTCAAAATAGTAGAGTAGAATAGACTACTTTTACATAGCAGTATGTATAAGTTAAGGCAAAGATGGTGGCAAACTTCGCCAATATGTCTGAATATTATAGAGCAGAAGTAAAGACACAACAGAAGTAGGAATTGCAACAGAAAAATGTTTTGCTTAGAGAGAGATAAAAAAAGAACTCCATAAATAATAAAATTTGTCATTTTTTTGGCCAAATAGCACAATGTTTTTAGCTTTCAAGCTATCGTTAGCAGTGGCATATTAGCTATACATATACATAATGGATGGAATAAGTTGACAGAGTTGTAAAAAAATCACTGAAAGTTGCAAAGAGCTATAATTTAGAATCTGGAGACTTTTTAAAATTTATATTAGGGTTAATTGTTCCCTTACGTTATATTAATTTGAGTGAAAATGAAGTGCTAGGCTTCAATAGCACTCAGTGCTAACATGTAATGGCATTGGGTTTTTTTCTGTCATTGCATTTTTTTTTTTCCATTTAGTCAAATAAAAATTTGAATTGAATCTGGATGAAGCTTGCTCTTGCTTCCTTTTACAGGGACGTTAACGGCTGGAGAACACAGTTTCCCTTTCCAGTTCCTCATTCCAGGTGAGTCTGCCTGACGGTTTCTCTGTGGCCCTGTCCACACCCACCATTCGTCTAAACCTTTCACTCCACGTCACATCATCAGGTTGCTGTGATAACCGGTGATAACACGTTTTTTTCCTCGTCTGTCTGCGGCCTTTGTCTCTAATATGCAGCACACAACCGACAAATCTGATGAGTGATAACTGATGAGTGTGTGAAGAGTCATACAAGAATATTACACACTTGAAATGACACGGGCTTTGTCATGTCACATATCCTTATGAGGTAGTTCCTCCAGACGTCAGTGCTACGGTTGAATGTATTCATGGGCAAGCTATGGCCCACGGGAAAAGTTATGGCCATTTGGTCTTTTTAATCTGGCCCCCCAATAATTGTTACAATATTGGTTGGTTCAAATTATAGTAAAGACCTCATTTAGACTGCATTCATTTTAATGTATTTTGTACTAGCCCTCTTTTCAAGTAACCACTAGATGGCTTCAGAAAGGATAAGTGGATCAAAGAATAGAGTTCTCTAACCTGTCAAATTTGTGGCACCTGAACCGAAAAACATCCTTGGTTTAAGGTCTGAATTCAAGTCATTCAAGTCATTAAAAAGGGTTAGAAATGCCAGAGTTGAATTCCTCTGGTTCTAATTCCCAGTCCAAGTCACTCGGGATTGTGTGGCGTCTTCAGGGTTTTGTGTCCAAGTCACTACAAAAAAAAAAAAAAAAAAAAAAAAAATCAAGAATTCCGTTTGCTATTCCAAGATACTTAGTAAAAAACATGTCTGGTGTTCATATTGTGTCTGTAGGGTTTTGAGTTACAGTTCCAGTTATTGCAGAAGGGTGTTGAGTCTAATCCAGAGTTGAGATTCTGAATCCTAAATATCCTAAATATATATAAATATATAGTTTCCTTTTTTCCCAAGACAAAGTCTAAATCACACTGAACGGCAGACTTTTTTTTTTAATTGCAAGAGAGTCAAAACTTCCTAAAATTGGACATAAAATTGGTACTTGATAGCTGTTTCCCAGCAGGGGGTGCTGTCCCAGGATCATTGTTTCTGCTTGTGTACACTCTCTCTCCCTGGCATGTGTGGGCAGGAGCTCAGGGTGGATCAGGTTATTTATAGATCTGTCTCTGCTGCTCCTCAGTCACTGTTTAATTAGTTTTCCTTCCTCTTGTCCTGTCAGACACCGAAAGGTGTCAACTGCTGCCCCCTGCCGGTGCACATCAGAATGTCTTCTACTTAATCAGACCCCTTCCTATCTCACCACCCTTCTATTCTATTCTATTCCATTCTACTATTCGTTTGTGGATGCGGACTACCCTGCTTTTAATGTCTGATTTTTGTGTCGCCTTGTGTTTGTGTTTTAACTGTTCTCCAGACAAACTTAATTGAAAATGTAAACCTGTCTCTGTAGACATTGTACAGAACAAATGTCTCATCAGTCCGGCGTTAACCTTTCTCTCCTCCTCCTCTCTCCAGCGGCTGCTCCCACTTCCTTCGAGGGTCCATTTGGGAAGGTCACTTACCGTGTGGTGGCGTCCATCGACACACCCCGGTTCTCCAAGGACTACAAGGCCACCAAACCATTTTACCTGCTCAACCTACTGAACCTCAACGAGGTTCCGGATATCGAGGTAGGTCTTTGTCTCCATCCTGTCTCATCTGCTGACAGACTGGTTTTGGTCCCACCGTCTTAGATGTCTCTTTCCCGTGACCGTGTCTCTGCAGCAGCCCAGTTCTGCTGTGATCACAAAGAAGTTCAGTTACCTCCTGGTGAAGACCGGCACCCTGATGCTGAAGGCTCGCAGTGACCGGAGAGGCTACGTCCCTGGGCAGGTTATCAAGATGGCCACTGAGATCCATAACAAGTCAGGGAAGGACACGGGATGCGTACTGGCCAGTCTGATACAGGTGGACACCGGACACCCTAAGATACAGTACAACTACTCTTGCAGAAACAATGAGAGTATTAACAGGGTACTTTTCATGTGTACTCTAGAAAGTGACCTATAAGACCAAGAAGCCTTTGTTTGACCTGCGGACCATCGCTGAGGTGGAGGGAGCAGGAGTGAAGGCGGGAAAACACGCTGAGTGGAGGGAGCAGATTATCGTCCCGCCCCTGCCTCAGTCGGGATTAGCAGGATGTAGCCTTATAGACATCGACTACTTCATTCAGGTCTGTGTTCACAACCTGTCTCTCTACCACTCTCTACCTCTGTCGCTCTCTCTTTTACGCTCTCTCTGAGAACTTCCTGTCCCTCATTAGGTCCTTTAACCTAGATCTCCAACCTCCAACTCACAAATGTGGCAAACACCTGACCTGATACTCACCAGAAACTACGAAACAGAGGACCTACTGGTCACACCGCTACACATCTCAGACCACTTTTTTATCCGCTTCTCTATCGGCCTCCTGGAACAGCCACATGTTCCGCCGCAACCTGTCCACCACACAATTTACCACCATCCTGCCTCCAAACGTGTAGAGACTGACAAACCCTGTCGACTGCATTCTATGAGCTCTATGTATCAACTAGTAAAATTCAAGTTCTTTCCGTTCCAGGTGTCGCTGAAGTCTCCAGACGCAGTCGTGGTTTTGCCCATCTACATAGGCAACATCACTTTAAACACTTCTCCGTCCAGAACCGTGGCCTCCACTCCAGACCACAGCGGCGCCGCAGGGATCACACCCACCGCTCCACCGGCAGAGGAGCACCTGGACGAGAGTTTGTGCGCAGGAGGCGCGGTCAGCGAGGAGATTCCGACAAAAAGCCACTCCCAGCAGGACTCCTCCGGGCAGCCCGTCACCATGTCGCCCAGCGCCTTCAGCCACGCGCCAGGTGCGGCAATGCCTCCAGGACACAGGAGGCCCGACATGTCCTCCCCACTGTTTTGTCTCTCCACCGGAGCAACGATACCTTTCTTCACCGAAGGAGATGTGACTCCCATTCCCACTTCCTGTTCCCTGATCCTGCCTCCAGAGTACAGCAGCTGGGACTACCCTCATGGTCAGTGAACACACAGTTATGTCGTCAAAGTCATGGTTTTGACTGATTATTTTGAAAATGGGATTTAGTATTACACACTTACAGAGATAAAGTACTCTGAGACTAAAAATGAAAATACTAAAACACGACCCATCTCTATACCCCCAGCGTCGCTCATCACTGTTTTTCCCATATTTTCCAGAACCTCCCCCCACATACGAGGAAAGCTGCAGCAGCGTCAACTCCAGCGTCATCAACAGGCAGTAGACAGGAAGAAGCTGATGGTGCGCCAAGGCCACATTCACATTTACATATATGCCCTCACCTGTGGAACAATCAGAACAGGTTGAGGTGACAGCAGACGGACAGAAGCCTGAAAACCCCAAAGATTCGGTTGTTGTTGTTTTAACCTTTTTTCCTGTTTTAAAAAATTGACTCTGTCTTTTAAGGAACATTTAAGATAGATTTTTGATTAATTGTTTCATAGACATAACAGGTGATGATCACTGTGCCTAAAAGACGTCTCTTGGACTGTCCCGCGGTTTAGATGACTGTGAATGGACTGGTTTCCCTCTGGGGCCGGGGTTAAATCTTTCCTCTTTATTGAATTGTTGCATCTGTGATGCTTTGAATCATGTTCGTCAGCCTGCTGGAGGCTCAGGGTTGACCACACCCAAAGTCAGTGACAATGATCCTAATGTACACTTGTTCCTGTGGTTGGCTGTAGTGTGTGTTTCTTTGTCCTTCTTCTTGTCAGAGAGACGGAAAGGTCTTCGCCTAGAGGCATCCTGTGGACCTGTTTTTAAAGGGATAGTTGTGTGTGTGTGTGTGTGTGTCTCAGATACTGGCACATGGTAACAAGACCTGATAGCTCAAACTATGACCACTATACTAAAGTCTCCAATCTCTCCAGAATATGTTTACTGCTCAGTCTCACTTCTTTCAACAGTTTGTGTTGGTTTACCAATTTCCCATACAAAAGTCCATTGAAGAAAATGAGGATTTAACTGTGCAGCACACAGCAGTTGTTTATCTACTTCTTTACTGTTTCAGATTTTTAATACCATAAAGAAGAAGAACTAGCCTCCTGTTTTCTTATGCTTAAATCTCTGTTTTTCTCTATGGACTTTGGAGCAGCAGGGTGTCCTGGGTTTCCGGGACAGTGACTGTTCATTTCAAGTGTGGGTGGAATCACGACTGCACACCTTTGTCTCTGTGTAGAACAAATGAAACCTCTCTTTTCCGCATTTTTATCTGTTTCTGTCCGAGAAGTCTAAAGGAACCTTTTTAGTTATGCACCTTAAAACACTTTTTGTACATTTAACAAAGTATTTATGCCTATTTCAACTCAAACTGTTCCTTCTGTCAAATTAATTAGACTATGTATGCAGGAGACCTCTGCTCTCACATTGATTCGTTTCAGTGGTTTTCAAGATAGAAATCCCATTAAAAATTCAAACATATTTCATCTGTGACTCCACTCACTCCGACAATTTATCTACAGTCTGCTCCCTGTAGTCATTCTTTGGCACCATTTTGGTTCCAACACTGGAGCTTAACGCAGCAGTTCCTGTGTGAGTACAATATTGTACGTTCGATTTTTCTTATAACTGTCGGTTATGTTAGCATGTGGTACGATAAGGTGATCAAGACTATTTTAATTTGTAATAAATGATTCCACAGTGTAAAAATGTATGCATTTATCTTGTCTCCCTTTTCAATTTGAAACAGAGTCTGCACTCAGTCAGACTTGTGAGTTACTGGTACAGTACTGGTTCCAAGAACCAGTCTGAAACAGCCATTTAAATCCATTCATTCAACTTCACTGCTCGATCCTGTCCAGGGTCGAGCTGGGGTCAATCCTATAGTAATCAGGAGAAGGTGGGGTTACGAACTGGACTGTTCCCCAGAGACACGGTCGCATGAAGAGATCTACACTAACATTGACATCAATGGCATATGGACAGTCAGAGTGGAACTATTCTACCTGTTCCCTATACCTTGAGCCTTTTATCTGTCAGATAAAAGACACTGAGGATGTACAGAGGAGTGTGAGACAGAAAAGATTCAACAACTGTAGAAAAAAATTAGAAAAGGTTACTAAAAGGTACAGAACACTACAAATGCTCCTCATCGTCTTGAAGTTAATCACACAGCTTGAAAGATGATGATGTGTTCTCCATCACAGTCTTACACGGACCAGAAAGTGCTGCATGTGTTCGTGTTTCTCACCAACACTGTCCACTATGTCTTCAAGAAAGTTGGCCTCCTCTGGTACCTGTCTGACTTGGAGGAGGCCTGTTACATCAACCGTGTGGTAAATCGTAGCATGAAAGGACTCATCGTCAGCGGACGAAACGTCCCGCCTATGGCAGCGGCCAAGTCCTTATCTGATGACATCGTCTCAGAGCTTCGAGAGAAGTACAGGAACCTCCTAACGTATGTTCTACTTCGTCAGGATCCTCGTGTGGATGCTGTTCTCATTGACTGCCTCAGGAATCGCACCAATGAGCTGCTGGAGAAAAAGGATAAGATCTGGTCTCGCATCATCTCCATGGCATCTAAGCTGATTTCAAAATGCAGTCAACGTCTGAATTTTGATAAAACAGAAGATTCACAATTGACCAATGCATTGCTTCAGAGCAACAAATACAAACATTTAGTTGAGGTAAACAGGAAACCAAGAAAAGACGAGGGAATCATGAAATAGCATGGATGCTAACTTCTGTAGGACACGTAATGCTGTAGAACTATGAATAAAAGTAAAGGTGTTTATAAAATATTTTTGTGTGAATAATTGATTATTTAGTTTGAGCCAATAGAACAATATACAATACAATTTTTTTACAATTTTATTGTGCAGCCTAAATTAGTATGAATTTGAATGAAACTCAAAAACTGTAATAATGCCCATGGTTGGTTGTTATTAAGACAACTTGATCTATAATTTTATAAAGAAAAACTGAGAACTTGTTTGGTTGTTTTCTTGCTAGATTTGTGTTATGAGAAGGTTTCGATTCACAGTTTAGCTATTAAATGCCCCAATGGATTGATCCATAAGGCATTGGCCTCCTAAGCCAGGGATTGTGGGTTAGAGACCCATCTGAAGTGCTGATTTATTATAGCGCTTCAGGTGCAATGTCACTGTCTGTGATGCAGGAGCAGTGAGATGGAATCCTGCTACAGCAGTTGTGATACTAGTGTTGTGACAGAAATATTTGTTAGTTCCATATAATAATGGTTAGCACATCTGCCTCGGAAGCAGAGAGTTGGTTTCGATTCACAGAGGAACCACATTAAATTATTATATCTAATGATAAAAATGCTGTAGTAAATTGTCAATTGCAAAAAGTTTTAGGCAGACAGAAAGGGTAGTTTTATATGGAGTTTCTTCCAAGGCAAAAAAATAATTTTAATTTAATTTAATACTGAAACAAATTGTTTTGCAACTTCTCGTCTCATAATCTTGCCCTTTTCAAGATGGCGGCGAGAGAAACGTGAAAGTGTGTACGTACGTCTGCTACGTAAGAGTCTACTTATTGAAGCTTTTGGTTTGAAGGACTGCATACTGGATACGATTTCCGGTTATCATGTGATTATATCTTTGCTGTGCTCAGTTCGTCAGCGGGGCAGCAACTTAAAAAAACCGTCAAGAGGAAGCATTTGTTTTTGTTTTGTCCCCTGCGTTCGATAATTACATTAAAGGCTTCAAATTTGCGAAAATGTTTCAGTGATACTACGTTTTTGGTACGTATTAACATTTATCTGGTTTGTGTTTTGCTTCCGTTAGCAGCCATGCTAATCCGGAAGTCGCTGCATTGCAGATGTAGTTTCATGGTTGTACTTTACAGATCAATGGGCATAGGAGAATAACTGTCACGACCAACACGACGTTACAAATATATATATATATCGGCTTGAATGGTTTTTAGCAGCACATTGAACAAACCAAATGTACCCTTTTGGTATTTCGAGTTAACGTAACCTATAACTGTCAAGGTTAATACTGCAGATGTTTAAACTGTTAGTATTTTTACTGTATGTAATTCTTGTAATTCTTCTCTCTATAGCTGTTATTTATTTTGACCAAATGTAGAAATGTTACTGTATAGTTTCAAATAAAGCTTCTAGAATTGAAAACGCCACTCGTGAAGCTTTATTTTTACTGCAAGTACCATCATATGACGTGCTTTATGCTAATATACCAACGTGCTAAATGTGTCCTATTTGGACGTCCGCACTCCGCCGTGTGATGATCTAGAGAAAATAACTTTCTTAATTCGATATTTTCCCAAATGTTAAAAGAGAAAATTACATATCCACTTTAGAATCTGTCTTGGAACGTGAGTTATATTATGGCTAATCCAGCCGGCGTCTTCAGCTGCAGCTGCTAGTTTTATACAGAACATTACCCATTTGTTTATCTAAGGTTTTAAAATGAGTCATTTGATATGTTAAATGCAGATGAAAAAATGCCAATAAGTTTGGTCAAATCCGTGTTAAAATAGCAACTTTTTTTCTCACTTTACACCACATATGCATAAATTAACAGAAACCTAATATTAAGTGAAATTATTGTACCATGATAGATAGTTGATGGAAAATTAGTTATTGAGCTAATCAACACAGTTGTTGACTATATTGGAATAATTAATTTAATGCCATCTGTCAGTTGTTAGACAGAGCAGTCCTATTGTCATGATTGTCTTTTTGTGCTTAATTTCATAATTAGACATTTTAAGGTTGAAATTCCAGTACTGAATGTTGGAGAAGGATATTGTTTAGATTTTTGAAGTAGTAGTGGTAGATATTCTGCAAATCTGCAAATGTGAGATTTAGGTAAGTTGACTGACTGTCATAATTGATGACTCAGCACCAACTGGTGCCACTGGGTGTAAGTAAAAATGATAGTATCTTTGTGCATCTGTTCCTAATTCTCTTCCTCCAGATACATTATTATAACAACAATGTCGGGAAACGGCCTAGTTTTACCCATAGTGCTGTGGGGCCGCACAGCTCCCACACACTGCATCAGCACTGTACTGGTGATGGACGACTTCAGCACCATCATCACAGGCTGCCATGACGGACAGATCTGCCTGTGGGACATGACGCCAGAGCTGGAGGTACTGAGTAGGATGAGGAGGTTCATGTCATGTCTACTTGGGAGGGTCTTTTCTGACACTGTCTTTTTTCTTTTTCTATTTTCTTCTCTTTTTTTTTGCTCTTTTTTCTGCGTCGTCCTTTCCTTTCCTATCACAATGCTAATTCCTGGTGGGCAAGGTCCTGAAGTCGGAGTCACTGAAGCACTCTTGTGTTGCTTTTTTTTTGTTTGTTTTTTTAGTTGATTAGATCACTATAGTTGTTCTAAGTCCTCACTTTGTTATTTAGAGGGATGACTATTTTTTTTTGGAAAGATTAAAGTTTTTTGTTCATTTTTAAGTAAGCAACATGGATTTTCAAAGGGATCTTGTAAAGAAACTATTTACTATTATCCTTCCTCTACCTTTTTCTTTTTGTTCTTTATCTTCTATATCTTTTTCTGCCTTTCCTTTATTACTTCCGATTCAGCTGCAAGGTGTTTGTTGGTTTGGATTTTTCATATACTGTATACAATTGAACACTGTATTTACATGCATGATATCTAATTATACTTTCCAGGAAGTTTATTATTATATTTCTCTGATCTTTTCTTGTCTCTTTCCCAGATTTGTCCCAGGGCCATGTTGTTTGGACACACAGCCTCCATTACCTGTCTATCCAAAGCCAGTGCCTGCAGTGATAAACAGTTCATTGTCAGTGCAGCAGAGAGCGGGTGAGCGAAAAAAAACAAACAGCCGGGTGGCAGACATGAAAAGTGCCCCATGGAAAATGTTTTTTTTTTTTCCTTGTTTACCAAGCGCTGACGTACAGATTTAGCTATAGATGGGTGATGTCTGACTTCGTCTCCTCACGTTACAGGGAGATGTGTTTATGGGATGTTAATGATGGACGCTGTATTGAGTTTACAAAACTGGCCTGTGCTCACACCGGAATACAGGTATGAACATCGAGGGATTGGCTTGTGTCATGTGGTTTCTTTTTCATAAGAAATACAAGTTTCTGCTAATAATTCAAACCTAATTCACTGCATCAGCACTTTTTGTAAGAAAAAACTATGATTAACATTTACAGTAACTCTCAATTCTAACATCATTCTAACACAAACTTACCAAAGATGGCAGCAGTGGACCTGCAGCTTCCATGCCTCCGTGGGCTAAATATTATGTTTTTGAGAACCTTGTTACATGAGTACCAATTGATAATAACATGTCACACTTTTTTCAGCATTGTCCATATTTTTACTGGTGATAAATAAGTACCAATTGATAATAACGTGTCACACTTTTTTCAGCATACTGTATGTGTTGTTTTAAGTCAATAGTTATATCACATCAGCTTTAATTGTCCATATTTTTACTGGTGATAAATTCTATTACTTTACATGTGCTTACAGTTTTACCAGTTCACCGTTAGTACTGAGAGAGAAGGACGTCTCCTCTGTAACGGTCACTACCCAGAAATCCTGGTGGTGGATGCGACCAGCCTGGAGGTCCTGTACTCACTGGTATCTAAGATCTCACCGGACTGGATCAGTTCCATGAGCATCATCAGGTCCCATCGTACACAGGGTGAGAGAGGCTGGAACCAGCATTCTGTGGACACCTGCCCTTTGTATAACTTTTTTCTGTACAGTATAATTGCCAGTTTGTTACTAACTTCCTGTTTGTTTGTTTCTGCAGAGGACACAGTGGTGGCCGTGTCAGTAACAGGGATTCTAAAGGTCTGGATCATCACAGCTGAGGTCAGCAAGATGCAGGTACACGGGAGGTTTAGCACGGTTAAAAGCATTTTAAAATAATTTTTCATGATTAATCAAGGTAAACACACAGCCACCCTGTAATTTATCGTATTAAAAATGGCCCGTGTACATTCTTAGTTCTTTGAACAAATGAAAAGACAAGAGTTCTATTAAAAATGGCCCGTGTACATTCTTTGAACAAATGAAAAGACAAGAGTGTACGAGTAGAGTTTTTAACTCTAAGTCTAGAATGTTAACATTAATGTGTGAGTTTGTGTTTTTGTGTTCAGGACATGGACCCAGTGTTTGAAGAAGAGTCCAAACCCATCTACTGTCAGGGCTGTCAGAGCATTTCCTTCTGCACCTTCACTCAGAGCAGTCTGCTGGTTGTCTGCTCCAAGTACTGGAGGGTGAGAGATGATGGGGTTCAAGGACCTGCCTCACTCTCGGCTGAAGGCTTCACTTACAGTTCTGTAACCATCCTTTTCATACGTGTGCGTATCAGGTTTTTGACGCGGGTGACTACTCGCTGCTCTGCTCGATGCCTAGTGACGGTGACCAGATTTGGGCTGGAGGAGAGTTCATCGCTGCGGACAAAGTCATCATCTGGACTGAGGACGGACACAGCTACATCTACAAACTGCCTGCCAGGTATTCAGCTGTGATTACTGGCTTTTAATGGGAAAATCGGTGCTATCATATCAAACTTAAACCAGAGTGCTGGGAATTCATGGCATTTTAGAACATTGGGAACTTTGAGAAAGTCAAAAAGTACATTGGAATGCCACTTGAAGTCAATGGTTCAAATGACAATGTTGGGAAAAGTTGCCCCTCTGCAATAACTCTGAGCTCCCCAAGTGTGGTTTGCCCCACACTTTGGGATTCATACCACATATCACACCACTGAACACACAATGAAATTTGACCTCTGCATTTTAACCCATCACCAAAGTGAGCAAGGGGCTGCTTAAGCACCCTAAAAAACGAAACACTAAAAACGGATATTTTTTATTTTTACAGGTGCCAAATCAAATACATTTTGTTTTAAAATGTGAATTTTATTGATTTATTATTTGTTTAACTTATTAGTTAAAACTGTACTATTTACTTACTGGCAAAATTGTGATTGCTTTAAATGTGCTATTGAGCTCACTTTATCTGTACCTCTGTGTGTGTGTGTGCATGTGCACACTCCCAGTTGTCTACATGCCAGCGAACACTTCCGCAGTGATGTCGGTAAAACCAGCGATGGCTCGGTCCCGCCTCTCCTCTGCAGCATCGCCAACCGTGCAGACAAAGAGGTGGGTCATGTGATGTTAGTTATGTGACACTCAACAGCTGTGTAGCTGGAAAACTTCCTGTTACTGAAACCTGAGCTGATGATTAGCGTATAATCCAGGCCTTAGGGGCAGTTGTGAGTTATTTGTTTTGTCCACATATGTGTAATTCAGTGGCACCTACTGGGGTGTTAGCTCATCTGCACACTTTCCAAAGGAAAATGTAAAAACACTCTGTGTCACTTTGTACTTGTGTTAATGTGTTGAGTTTGATTCAGATTTAGAGAAAGAAAAATAATAATAATATGTATAATAAAATGGCATTTGAACCTACTAATGTAGAAGAACAAGTTCTGGGTTCTGGGATATAAAATCGTCTAGTATATTTTCAGTGAAGGCGGTGCAAACTTTATTTTCCTCCTGGAGAAAAAAACATTTATTGTTAGTATAATGAAATTCATATTTTACAGTTACTGTACATTTTCCTTTTTCTCCCTGCAGCTGCTTATCTGTCCTCCTGTGACTCGCTTCTTCTTTGGCCGACGGGAGCCGTTCCATAAGCTCCTGATCCAGGGAGACTCAGCAGGTCGACTCTCTCTGTGGAGCATCCCCGAAACATCTTCAAAACTGCCGCCCACCACCCCAGCTGGTGAGGTCACCATTGCCTCTAGTGGTGTGATGTTTTTTTTTTTGTTTTCTTTTTTCCCTAGGGAGATGTTTTCATTAAAGCTCCAAAAGACCAGAAACATCATGTCAAATTACTCCAAAAGTGTTTCTCAAAACCTAAAACAAAATGCAGTCTAGACGGTGCAACAAGGAAAAACATGGCTGCAGTAACAACCAATAGCAGGATATAATATTACTATTAAAATACTATTCCTGACTTGTAATACTGTCCCAATTAAGAGATGGATAAAAATACAGTTGAGCTACACAGTGTCAGAAGTGTTTAGCACTTGCCTTACAATAGGGAGGTCATTGATTTGTGGGTTTGATCCCTGCACTTTCTGTCCACAAACAGAAATTATTCAGTTGATTATTCACTCTAAACTGACTATAGGTGTCAATATGTTGTGAATGATTGTTTGTCTCTACATGTGACTCTGTGTTGGACTTGAGAACTGTCCGGGGTCTAACCCCCCCTCTACCGTGTTGGCTGCTGTTATTGGCTTCAGCGCTTCTTGATCACTGATTGATTGAATGAATGAGTGAATTTACTGGTTCTTTTCCTTTGATAACTTTTTTTTACATTAAGCTTATTTTTCTTTACAGTTTGTATGTGTATTTGTAAATCTGTAGAGCTGCAGGTCTCCTCCACGGTCAATCTCCAGGAGGCGTTTGACAAACTGACCCCGGTGTCTGCGGGGATCATCGACCAGCTCAGTGTCCTGCCTGGCAAAGAAGAACCGATCAAGGTCGTTCAACACAGTCAACGCACTAATTACTTCTTCTTTGCTGTGAATGGAGATTTTTAGCGCCGCTATTGAAAGACTGATGCATTTATGTGTGTGTTTGTCTCCCTCTGCAGGTCACATCCAGCGTCTACATCCCCTCTCAGGGCCGACTTGTGTGCGGGAGAGAAGACGGCAGCATCATCCTGGTTCCTGCCACTCAGACAGCCATCGTTCAGCTGCTGCAGGGAGAACACATGCTGCGCAGAGGTGAGAGGAGGAAGAGACTTAAGTTAATAACTTAAAAAAAATTAAAATCTGAGTTTTGGCAGAGAGGCAAACATGCGAATGTAACCCTGAAAATAAAGTGATCAGAGAGATATTAATTTCAGATTGAGATTGAATTGCATCTGTTTTTTCCTCCTCTCCCTCAGGTTGGCCTCCTCATCGCACATTGCGTGGTCATCGGAGCAAGGTGACATGTGTCCTGTATCCGTACCAGATCTCCCCCCGGTATGACCAGCGCTCCCTGGTGTCTGGAGGAGTAGACTTCTCTGTTATTGTCTGGGACATTTTCACTGGAGAGATGAAGCACATCTTCTGTGTCCATGGAGGGGAGATCACTCAGCTCATCATCCCACCTGAAAACTGCAGCGTAAGGGTTATTTAAATTTCAAATTCTTCTTTCTAGTTGCAAAGAAATTCTGAGTGAGAACTGATGTTTGGTTTCTTCTCCTCAGACTCGTGTCCAGCACTGCGTCTGCTCCGTGGCCAGTGATCACTCTGTCGGTCTGCTGAGTCTCAGGGAGAGAAAGTGCATCATGCTGGCGTCCAGACACCTCTTCCCCATCCAGGTCATCAAGTGGCGTCCGGCAGACGACTACCTGGTTGTGGGATGTTCTGACGGCTCCGTCTACGTCTGGCAGATGGACACAGGTTAGAAATTTCCAGATGGAAAGACAAACAATATAAAACAAGTAGGATATGCAGTGATACCTCTCCCATCTGTGTCAGCGTCTTCGTTTGGACTTTGTAACTGAAGCCTGAGAAGAACAGAGCGTTTAGTAGGCATCGTAGGGCGTTAAATGGTGTTAAATTAGGGTCAACTTTCACAAGAGCACTAACTTTACAGCAACTTAGTATATAACGGCCGACAGACAAGGGGAGATGCTGAGAGATGATACGATGCATGAGCCAATCAGCTTGAGGATGCTCAACTAGCCAATAGAATGCTGTGCATGATCTTGTCCCGGTAAACAAAGCCATTTTAAAGCCAACACTTTTGTATGTATAATTATTTTGTAATGTCTTTTAGTTTATTTTTTGCATTTCTTTTACTGTTTAATAGTTTTAGGTTAGAAAATGTTTTATATGCCGAAAATAATGAAAGTATTGGAAATTTAAAAAAAAAATCTTGTTAAAAAACCACAATATAGAGAGAACCTCTGCGGAACGGATAAAAAAAATCTGCGATGTACTGACGGAGTGAAAGGAGAACCGCGATATAGAGAGGGATCACTGTATTCATTCATTGATTGTGTTAATGCAGTAATCAGTAAAAGCAGGTGTTTATTTTCCTGCACATTAACACAATATAGAAGGCATCATCATGCGTTTAAACCAAAAAGATAATCACTGGCTAAGACAGATGGAGCACAGTCAAACGTGTCTTTGTGAACACAAGTGAGGGAAGGATGGAACACGAGATTGACAGGCGGATTGGTGCAGCGGGTGGCTAAGACAGCTGTTTGCGAACACAAGTGAGGGAAGGATGGAATTGACAGACAAGATTGACAGGCGTTTCAGGCGCGGTTGCAGAAATGCGGTTGCTGTATCAGTCCGTTGTGGCAACGAAGGAGCTGAGCCAAAAGGCAAAGCTCTCGATTTACCAGTCAATCTACGTTCCTACTCTCACCTATGGTCATTAACTTTGGGTCATGACCGAAAGAACAAGATCCTGGATGCAAGCGGCCTATGTCGCTCGGTTAGCCTGGGTACACCTCAAAATCCTCCCAGTAGAGGAAGTGTCTGGGGAGAAGTCTGTTACTGTTGCCCCTGCGATATTTGGGAAATTCTTGTGTTAGCTAACAGATCTGCTGCAACAGGCTGGCAGGTGTCAAGTATGTGCTCCACTGGGAATCAAACCCATGACTTCCTGCTCTCTGCTTCCCAGTCAAGTGTTCTAACTGTTATACTATGGGACATTAAAAAAGAATAATACAGATTAATAATTTTTCTAACCTTGTTACAAAAAGTGAAAATGTTGAAGTTGAAATGAATTAGCCTTTCTGTGCCCCCCTTCAATAGCACCAGATATCTCTAAGGGGGCCCGGCCCCCCACTTGTGGAACCATTGCCCTATATAATGAGATCTACAGTAGTAGCACTTGTGGTCTAATGATGTGCAGGTAATCGTCTCCCTCTCCCTCCCTCTCTCTTTATCTCTCTCTCTATCTCTCTGTGAAGTGTTTGCAGTCAGAGACAGGAGACTCAGTCTGTGACCTGAATCATATTCCTCAGATAATAGAAGATTATAGTCGGCGTTCAGAAACACTGAACTGCTGCTGCTGCCGCTCATGATTGTCTCTCACCGAGTTGGACCGAATGATAAAAATAATAGGAGAGTGTAGGAACGAGATGAGAGAGATTGACAGACACAAAGGCTGAGATGAAGCTGTTGGTCTGCTCACACTCACATTATATACCCTGGTGCATTATGGGTCCATAGGTATACTGGTCACGTGTCCATATATCTGTATGCTTCTCTCACTGAGTCGTCAGGACAGGAAGATCAGAGCTGGACCAGCTTCAGTACATTAGACCAATGTAAGACTTTGTAAACTCCTTGATCCAAGCTCACGTCCAGCTATTTATGGCTACCTTCAATGTATTTTGCCATTTGTTTGGTTAACTTTAGCCTTTTCCCTGCTAACACATTTTTCTGTTGCCTATTTTGCAACAAGTGAGTCACTTCTAACTGCAGTATAACTTTGACCAAAATTTTTATATATACTGACTTTTGCTGTTCCAAAGCTCACACTAAGGCCCGATTTTCCCTCCTTTTAAAGATGTTAATAGATGCGTTGTTTCAAACTGCTCATAGACAGCCATACCTTTAGCATGGTAGTTAAGCGCCATATCCGCAAGGGGGCAGTATTGAGCTGGGTGTTAATTTCCAGCCATAAGACATGAGTTGCTCATTCTAGAAATTTGGTGACGGTGGAGGAGATGTGTTGATATTTCTGCTCAGAACAGAGGTCAAATGAGATTCGCAGCCTATCATAAGCTACACATTTGCAGTCTCCCCCAGCCCCATGATATTCAGTGGTACTGCTCAATTTGAAGCTTTGGGCTATGCATTCACAAACCCTCTGACATCAAACCAAGATATGCTCATAACACCGATGATGGACTATGTTAGGGTACTTACCCAGAGGTGGGTAGAGTAGACAAAAACTACTCAAGTAAAAGTACTGTTTCAGAATAATATTACTTAAGTTAGAAGTAAAAAGTAGTCATCCAAATAATTACTTGAGTAAGAGTAAAAAAAGTACTTGGTGAAAAAACTACTCAATTGCTGAGTAATTGTTGAGTAACATCTGATTTATTTTTCAATCATAACTTAAAAACAAATCAAAAACGATTTTAGATCAAACTTACCGCAACATATTTCCTCACGTTAGATGTTGCGTTTTAAGACGTTAAGTTACTTTGTAAATATTTATTTTTAATGTACTCTTTTATGTATTATTCCATTGATTTGTATATTTATAGAAGTATTTGAATTTACCTAAAGATTAGTTTAAGGTATTTAATTAATTTGATTAATGTACTCTTTTGTATTATTCCATTGATTTGTATTTTTATAGTAAATAAGTATTTGAATTTACCTAAGGATTAGTTTAAGGTATTTAATTAATTTGTTTTATTTTTTTATTTTATTGCAACTATAAACTCTCCTCTCTGTAATTTTGTCTGATCTGATTGAAAAATAAATCAGATGTTACTCAACAGTTACTCAGTACTTAAGTACTTTTTTTACTCTTACTCAAGTAATTATTTGAATGACTACTTTTTACTTCTAAATTAAGTAATATTATTCTGAAACAGTACTTTTACTTGAGTACAGTTTTTGGCTACTCTAAAAATCCGTTTGTTTTGGGAAACACAAAAGACACCCCATGATGTGACTTCTGTTCTGCACTGTTTGTAAACTGAACATGCTTTCAATATGAGAAAAACTTACTCAAGTAAATGTAACAGAGTAAATGTAACTCGTTACTACCCACCGCTGTACTTACCATTGAGCATCGTTCCCAGGTGCTCTGGACCGCTGTGTGATGGGCATAACAGCCGTGGAGATCCTGAACGCCTGTGATGAGCTGGCCCCGGCCACTGTGGACGCTCTGAGCCACTCCGCTGTGAACCTGAAGCAGGCCATGACCCGTCGCAGCTTGGCGGCGCTAAAGAACATGGCTCAGCACAAACTGCAAACAATAGGAGAGTGTAGGAACGAGATGAGAGAGATTGACAGACACAAAGGCTGAGATGAAGCTGTTGGTCTGCTCACACTCACATTATATACCCTGGTGCATTATGGGTCCATAGGTATACTGGTCACGTGTCCATATATCTGTATGCTTCTCTCACTGAGTCGTCAGGACAGGAAGATCAGAGCTGGACCAGCTTCAGTACATTAGACCAATGTAAGACTTTGTAAACTCCTTGATCCAAGCTCACGTCCAGCTATTTATGGCTACCTTCAATGTATTTTGCCATTTGTTTGGTTAACTTTAGCCTTTTCCGTGCTAACACATTTTTCTGTTGCATAGTTTGCAACAAGTGAGTCACTTCTAACTGCAGTATAACTTTGACCAAAATTTTTATATATACTGACTTTTGCTGTTCCAAAGCTCACACTAAGGCCCGATTTTCCCTCCTTTTAAAGATGTTAATAGATGCGTTGTTTCAAACTGCTCATAGACAGCCATACCTTTAGCATGGTAGTTAAGCGCCATATCCGCAAGGGGGCAGTATTGAGCTGGGTGTTAATTTCCAGCCATAAGACATGAGTTGCTCATTCTAGAAATTTGGTGACGGTGGAGGAGATGTGTTGATATTTCTGCTCAGAACAGAGGTCAAATGAGATTCGCAGCCTATCATAAGCTACACATTTGCAGTCTCCCCCAGCCCCATGATATTCAGTGGTACTGCTCAATTTGAAGCTTTGGGCTATGCATTCACAAACCCTCTGACATCAAACCAAGATATGCTCATAACACCGATGATGGACTATGTTAGGGTACTTACCCAGAGGTGGGTAGAGTAGACAAAAACTACTCAAGTAAAAGTACTGTTTCAGAATAATATTACTTAAGTTAGAAGTAAAAAGTAGTCATCCAAATAATTACTTGAGTAAGAGTAAAAAAAGTACTTGGTGAAAAAACTACTCAATTGCTGAGTAATTGTTGAGTAACATCTGATTTATTTTTCAATCATAACTTAAAAACAAATCAAAAACGATTTTAGATCAAACTTACCGCAACATATTTCCTCACGTTAGATGTTGCGTTTTAAGACGTTAAGTTACTTTGTAAATATTTATTATTAATGTACTCTTTTGTATTATTCCATTGATTTGTATTTTTATAGTAAATAAGTATTTGAATTTACCTAAGGATTAGTTTAAGGTATTTAATTAATTTGTTTTATTTTTTTATTTTATTGCAACTATAAACTCTCCTCTCTGTAATTTTGTCTGATCTGATTGAAAAATAAATCAGATGTTACTCAACAGTTACTCAGTACTTAAGTACTTTTTTTACTCTTACTCAAGTAATTATTTGAATGACTACTTTTTACTTCTAAATTAAGTAATATTATTCTGAAACAGTACTTTTACTTGAGTACAGTTTTTGGCTACTCTAAAAATCCGTTTGTTTTGGGAAACACAAAAGACACCCCATGATGTGACTTCTGTTCTGCACTGTTTGTAAACTGAACATGCTTTCAATATGAGAAAAACTTACTCAAGTAAATGTAACAGAGTAAATGTAACTCGTTACTACCCACCGCTGTACTTACCATTGAGCATCGTTCCCAGGTGCTCTGGACCGCTGTGTGATGGGCATAACAGCCGTGGAGATCCTGAACGCCTGTGATGAGCTGGCCCCGGCCACTGTGGACGCTCTGAGCCACTCCGCTGTGAACCTGAAGCAGGCCATGACCCGTCGCAGCTTGGCGGCGCTAAAGAACATGGCTCAGCACAAACTGCAAACGCTCGCGACCAACCTGCTCGCTGCAGACAACGCTGACAAGGTATGTGTGAATAAACGCTGGAACGCTGGATTCTATCATCTCTGGAGCGACTGGTTTTCTTTGCCTGTTATTCTGGATTTTCAAATGGTAACAAGTTTGTCTCATTTAAACCGCTCTGTCTCCAGCACTGAAGGCGATAAAAAGATTGCTAGCATTTTTAGTTCATGAGATCACAGGAGGTGTAGATCTTCTGCTGCCTCCTTTGTAAACCTGTATCACTGACGTAAACAGAAAAAAAGGTTTACACACGCTAATGTTGCACCCTGACAAAGTTAAATGTAGTGATGGTGGCTCGGTAGGTTCACAACAATCACAGAAAATCTCTTTGGACTTTTGTGTAGAGTAAGTGGTTTAGAAAGTGACACTAAATGCTTTTTCCTGATGCCTGCAAAGTTCAAATTGGTCTTTTTCTACCTTTCACAATTCAGTTTACCTCCGTCTTTGTTGTGTTTTTGTTGTCTTCATCAACCTCACACACACACACACACACACACACACACACATCTTGTTGCGTTGGTCAGACAGCTGGCCGAACTCACTGTCCAATTAAAAAATACTGCTAGAGACAAAGCAAAGGTCAACACTGCTGCGCAGATGTGTGTATTTGTGTGTGCGTGTGTGAGAGAGCGAGGGAGAGACGGAAGGCAACAATGATGTCTCCCATGGGGAGACCCATACCATCTCTAAATGTCAGAAAAAGTGCAGTGTTTGTTTTCTCTCAGAGAGACTGTCCACTGCAGCTCCTGCGGGTTCCTATTGACTGTTTTCACAATCAGCACATTTATAGGTTAAGGATAAATTAATCAGGGTTAAACCTATGGTACGAAAAAATGCCGTAAATGAATTAAAGATTATGCAATAAGCAAATATAACTATCAGAATCAGCTTTATTGGCCAACTATGGAAACATATAAGGAATTTGACTTTTCCATTTGCTCCAATGTACAAATTACAACACAAAGTAAGACATTTCAACACATGCAAATGTCATTCAAGAAAAAACCAAAAATCCCTTCTTTTTTTTTTTTTTTTTCAAATACACCTGTCACTTCAGAATGGTCAGCAACTGGAGTTTTTGTATGACGTTACTTATATATCTATACAGAGAAAACTAAAGCATGTATAGTTGCTTTCCTCAGGAACACGTTAGTGAACCATAGACGGGCTCTGTGCAGGTTTGGGGCTGCATTTCAGCTTGTTACATCTGGCATTTGTTAAATACTGGTGCTATGATTGCAGAAAAGCTCATCTGTTACTGTTACATTTACAAAATAACACAATTCAACACAGTACAAAGTAACACAGTTCAACACACAATTCAACTAAATGTAAAACATATATATATATATATAACAAGAATACAGTTGCTAAGCTAGCCACATATCACACGCTACAACTGTTACCGTTTTTTCGTAGTTTTTTTAAAAACTAGCCTACTGAATAAAGTACAGGTTCGGCTGTATTTGAGATCACATTTTGCTACACGTTCCCCTTCTAAGATGAAAGGAGTTTGGCACGTGTGGTGCGATACAGATGTGCCCCCTAGAAAAAGAGTTTTGCAATTTAAACGAACGAGCAGGTATTTACTCAACTACCTGTTTACTTGTTGTGAACAAATGTACAGACGGTGATGAACCGGCTCAGAAGACAAACACCCTGGTGTAATTTACAGGGTAAACGTTCAGTTGAGTTGTTGCAGTTTGACTTTCACCGTTTCACGATCCATTTAGCTCCCGGATAACCTTTTTGTGTGTGTTTGTGCGCACACACATACACACAGTCACTCATACGTGTACGTGCGTTGAGTTTCCTGTTGTAGATTTATTGTGTGTGTCTCCTGGGTTTTTTCCCTGCTATAACTGCCTGTAATCACAGTCTTTTCCTCTGACTTCTATCACAAAGACATTGTTTCTGTCTCCGTCATTCCTCATATCTGCTCGAATTATGGGTCAAACCGCCCGCTCTCCCCTGTGGGTGTATGTGTATATGTGTGTGTGTGTGTGTATACACGCTCCCCTGTGGGGTGTAATGGCAGATAATGACCATAAAATGTCAGCCCATCAAACCCAGCATTACACAGTCAGGTGCAGTTTTCTGTGTCGGTGTGTATACACCTGTGTGTGTGTTTTTTTTGTTTGTTTATGTGTGTGCGACAAAGGAGCTGTGTGTGTTTTTGTGAATTTGAGATTGTCTTCTGCTGGTTTTCCTTAACCTAATGGTGTAAAAAAAAACACAAAAAGATTAATATATTATGTTCAATAACAATAAGCAAAATGCTCAGTTAGAGGCCACTTCATTTGGTACAGTCTGATCCAGTCACTCAACAGATCTGGTGAGTGAGGTCAACATTTAACCTTATTACAGACATGTTTTGTTTTGCTGCTGAAAGAAGCTTCTAGAAGATGATTGAACAGATAAAACTTAATTAATTATATGAACCAAAAAAATGTCAACGTTTGCACTTTTTGCTTTTATTGCCAGTGGTTTCATAATCTCTCATACTAAAGTCAAATCACCTGTTCAGATACCAGACAGGTCAGGTCGAGGAGGTTACATACATGCATGATTAAATTGAGTTAATAGGAATATGTGCAATGTAGCGGTTGGCCTTCAGATGGCAGTGTTGCTCCACCAGATAGAGATGCACGTCACTGACTTCCATTCATTTGTGCAGGTCAACTAAAGTCCGATCTCTAATCTGAATCATCAACCGTTAATACCCTCACAGTGACCCTGACATTTTATGATTTTATTTTTTTATTTTTTCATGTATTAAGTGCAAAATATATTTTAGGCAAAATGAATTTAGCCAATTTATTAAATCTACTGTCCTCTATTCTGTCTGTCAGCTATACCACAATGTTTGTCTTCATGTTAAAAAGTTAAAATGACAGGTTCACACTAAGAATTACAGCCAGAGCTTTGATAGGAAAGTCTTTCCCTCAGTGCTACAGCCTGTGTGTGTGTATGTGTGTGTTTGTGTGTGCGTGCGTATGTCTATGAAGGAGATGGAGAGGCTCCTGACTGACCAGAGACACAGTACACCTGCAGTGGGAGCAGACACACACACACACACACACACACTCAGCTCATTTTTTATGATCTTTACTGGTTGAAATGTTAAACAGCGTTTCCAGAAGCATGAAAGTGCAACACAGCAAAACATCAGTGACCGTAAAGGCTTTTCATAAAAACAAAAACAAACATTAGAGCATCAGCATAAACAAGCTCTTCTTTTTGGCATGTTTCTTGTCAGCAGACTCTCTGGTTCAAACTGAACCTTTGCTTCATCTCTCACTTTTTCCAACACCTGAAAAGCAAAGTTTTGAAAACACGAATCACTGTTAGCTCCAGGTCTGTTTTACTTTCTTTCTCTTTGTCTCTTTGTTTTCTACAGGGTAACCTGCCCAAATACTCCCATAATGCACTGGTGGTCCAGGCCATGAAGACCAACCTGACAGACCCGGACATGCACGTACTGTTCTTCGATGTTGAGGCCGTGATCATCCAGCTTCTAACTGAAGAAGCCCAGAGACCAAACCCAACACTGGTGTCTCCAGAGTCACTACAGAAGAGTCAGGCTGGTGCCGACAAAGGAGGCTCCTTCCTGGCCAACAAAATCTTCAAACAGGTCTCCACAAAATAAAACTTGGTGAAATCCTGATAGTCTATTTTTATACTAACTCTTAATATTTCAAATGATCCAAACCAGGTGAAGGAAACCATGAAGGAGACCATCAAGGAACACCTGCTAGATGAAGATGAGGAGGAGGAGGAAGAGATGAGGAGGCGCGAGGAGAAGTCCAAGTCCCTCAGTCTGCTGGAGTACAACTTGACCATGGACACAGCCAAGCTCTTCATGTCCTGCCTTCACGCCTGGGGCCTGAACGAGCAGCTGGACGGCATCTGTCTGGACAGACTGGGCATGCTCAGACCACACTGTCCCATCTCCTTTGGCCTCATCTCCAGAGGAGGTCACATGTCCCTCATGCTGCCCACCTTCAAGGTACGACTGTCGCACCAGATGTTGTCCAGGATGGGGTCAAAGGAAACAACACATGGAACATAAAATAAAATTCTTATTGTAAAAAAAAGGCAAATTTATATTAGCGACCAATAAAAGCTCTAGGTGACCAATATACTGCCCATAATAATATCAGTTGCTCTTCTTTCTCCAGGAGTCTTTGCTGCAACAGTTGTCCCTGGCCACAGGTCGGAAGCTCACCCTGTCAGACATTGTGGGAAAAGGAACGTACGGAGTGTCCAGGGCTGTCACCACTCAGCACCTGCTGTCTGTCATTTCACTGGCCAACACTCTGATGGGAATGACCAACGCCACCTTTGTGGGAGAGCACATGAAGAAAGCCCCGGCCAGGTAAGACACAAACAGACACACACACACCTATCAGTTAATGTGTGAATCGCATCAATTCTTCTGATAAGAACATAACTGATACCAAATTAGAATCACAGGATTTCATCTTCCTTGTGGACATTCTTTCGGGTTTTCCATTCAGACCGATCCAGGGAGAAGTTCAAGGTTCAGTTGAGGTCTAAAATCAGACAATGAAATTTGACAATAAGAAATGTCTAGGTGCACATGGCCGATCACAGTTGGATCTAAATCGCCTCGGAATATAATTCACCTTAGATAATCTAGAGGTATAATCCAAGTGTATTTTCCTGAATCAGAAGATCAAGATTCATCACGCAGGAAAATGCAGCAAAGAAAAGAAAAGTAAACTGGATCAGGAAACAGACTGTGTCCACACACGGTGATACCCGCAGCTGCGCCTGTGTACGCCAATGTGTGTGTGAAGCTGATTGTTTAGTCCGTCTGAGCTCTCATTGTGGAGTAAAAGATTAAACACTGAGGTCGAGGTCCTGCTGCTGCTGCTGCTGCACCAGCACATCATTCCAACGTTTGACCAAAACCTGCTCAGAATAAAGCTGCAGTGATGAACAGAGCTGAGCTGTGAGGGGGAAAAACAGTGAAATACATATACCCTCATGGTAGTCACCAGTGACTAGGGTTAGAAAAACTGTGAAATACACTCATGGTAGTCACCAGTGACTAGGGTTGTCTCAATGCACTGTTTTTTTACTAATATAAAATAATATGCATTTGGATACTGGATACTGGATAATGCTCCAGGTTGGGTTTAATAAATATTCAACAAACCGGAAGGCAGTTTTAGACAGGTGGCACAGATCTGTGGGTAATCGGGTCACATGCTGTGTGTAGGTCTGAGCCCAAACCACAGGGATGACACAAGACACAATTGCTTAAAGTCAGATTTATTTTCATTTCATTGACAGGAGTACAGGTGGCACAAAACAAACAGATTTCACACTGAAAATGTTTTCAAAACTTTCTATTTCCTACTTTCTCCACGTCTTTGTCAGGAGAGCAGGTTCATTAAACCCTGAGCTCAGAACCATAGCTCTCCAAACCAGACACGGTGAATATTTGAAGTTGTTTGGGTTCGGTATTTCACTCTAACATTTGTGCTACTGAAACACCTTCAGGTCACTGCAGCTTAAAGGAAAGCTTTTTCACTAACCTCAGCTGGAATCATGGTCTCACTAAATGAATGAGCAGTATCTCAAGTTTTCAATTGTTCGTATACTTACACTTCACAGAATATAGACATCTAAAAAACACCATGTTTAATCTTGTTAACAAATAAATACATTTTCTTTCGTATAGCTTCACACATCAGACCAGTGCTAAGCTGACGGTCACTGACTGACCACATGACACATGAGTCTTTGCAGCTCTGCAAAGACTGCTGCAAGTGTGTATCTTTGAGTAG